GGTATCCTTGTGCTGCCACTGTTGTGTTGTTGTTACTGGTATGTTGGTGTTGTCACTGGTGTCCTGGTGTTGTCATTGGTGTCCTTGTGTTGTCACTGGTGTCCTGGTGTTGTCACTGGTGTCCTGGTGTTGTCACTGGTATCCTTGTGCTGCCACTGTTGTGTTGTTGTTACTGGTATGTTGGTGTTATCACTAGTATGTTGGTGTTGTCACTGGTGTGTTGGTGCTGTCACTGGTATGTTGGTGTTGTCACTGGTATGTTGATGTTGACACTGGTATGTTAGTGTTTTCACTGGTGTGTTGGTGTTGTCACTTGTGTGCTGGTGTTGTCACTTGTGTGCTGGTGTTATCACTGGTATGTTGTATTGTCACTGGTGTTCTGGTGTTGTCACTGTTGTGTTGTTGTCACTGGCATGTTGCCGTTGTCAATGGTGCGTTGGTGTTGTCACTGGTGTTTTGGTGTTGTCACCGGTATGTTAGTGTTGTCTATGATGCCCTGGTGTTGTCACTGGTATGTTGGTGTTGTCACTGGTGTCCTGGTGCTGTCACTATTGTCCTGGTATTGTCACTGGTATCCTGCTGCTGTCACTGTTGTGTTGTTGTCATTGGTGTGCTTCTGTTGTCACTGGTATGTTATTGTCGTCACTGGTATGTTGGTGTTGTCACTGGTATGTTTGTGTTTTCACTGGTGTGTTGGTGTTGTCACTGACATGTTAATGTTGTTACTGGTGTCCTGGTGTTGTCACTGTTCAGTTCTAGTTATTGGTATGTTGGTGTTGTCACTGGTATTGTGATGTTGTCACTGGTGTTCTGGTGTTATTTGTGTCCTGGTGTTGTCATTGATGTCCTAGTGTTGTCACTGGTGTCCTGGTGTTGGTACTGTTGTGCCGTTACAACTGGTATGTTGGTGTTGTCAATGGTATGTTGGTGTTGTCACTGGTGTGTTGGTGTTGTCATTGGCATGTTGGTGTTATCACTGGTGTCCTGATTTTGTCACTGTTGAGCTGTTGTCACTGGCATGTTGGCGTTATCACTGGTATGCTGGTGTTGTCACAGTTATGTTGTTGACGCTGGTATGTTGGTGTTGTCACTGGTATGTTGGTGTTGTCACTGATATATTGGTGTTGTCATTGGTGTGTTGGTGTTGTCATTAGCGTATTGGTGTTGCCACTGGTGTGTTGGTGTTGTCACGTGGTGTGTTGGTGTTGTCACTGATGTATTGTTGTCATTGTTGTGTTGTTGTTGCTGGCGTGTTGGTGTTCCCACTGACGTGCTGGTGTTCCCACTGACGTGCTGGTGTTCTCACTGACGTACTGGTGTTCCCACTGACGTGCTGGTGTTCTCACTGACGTACTGGTGTTCTCGCTGACGTGCTTGTGTTCTCACTGATGTACTGGTGTCCTCACTGACGTGCTGGTGTTCCCACTGACGTGCTGGTGTTCTCGCTGACGTGCTTGTGTTCTCACTGATGTACTGGTGTTCCCACTGACGTGCTGGTGTTCTCACTGACGTGCTGGTGTTCCCACTGACGTGCTGGTGTTCTCACTGACGTGCTGGTGTTCTCACTGACGTACTGGTGTTCCCACTGACGTGCTGGTGTTCTCGCTGACGTGCTTGTGTTCTCACTGATGTACTGGTGTTCCCACTGACGTGATGGTGTTCTCACTGACGTGCTGGTGTTCTCACTGAAGTAATGGTATTCTCACTGACGTACTGGTGTTCTAACTGACGTTCTGGCTTCTCACTCAAGTGCTGGTGTTGTCACTGATGTACTGGTGTCCCCTCTGACGTACTGGTATTTTCATTGACGTGCTGGTGTTCTAACTGACGTGCTGGTGTTCTCACTGACGTGATGGTGTTCTCACTGACGTACTGGTTTCTCACTCAAGTTATGGTGTTCACACTGATGTACTGGTGTTCTCTCTGACGTACTGATCTTCTCACTGACGTGCTGGTGTTCTCACTGATGTACTGGTGTTCTCACTGACGTACTGGTGTTCCTACTGACGTACTGGTTTCTCACTCAAGTGCAGGTGTTCTCACTGATGTACTGGTGTTCTTACTGACGTACTGGTGCTCCCACTGACGTACTGGTGTTCTCACTGACGTGATGGTGTTCTCACTGACGTGATGGTGTTCTCACTGATGTACTGGTGCTCCCACTGACGTACTGGTGTTCTCACTGACGTGATGGTGTTCTCACTGACGTGATGGTGTTCTCACTGATGTACTGTGTCCCACTGACGTAACTGGTGTTCTCACTGCGTGATGGTGTTCTCACTGACGTGATGGTGTTCTCACTGACGTACTGGAGTTCTCACTGACGTACTGGTGCTCTCACTGACGTACTGGTGTTCTCACTGACGTGATGGTGTTCTCACTGACGTACTGGAGTTCTCACTGACGTACTGGTTTCTCACTCAAGTGCAGGTGTTCTCACTGATGTACTGGTGTTCTCACTGACGTACTGGTGCTCCCACTGACGTACTGGTGTTCTCACTGATGTGATGGTGTTCTCACTGATGTACTGGTGTTCTCACTGATGTACTGGTGTTCTCACTGACGTACTGGTGTTCTCACTGATGTACTGGTGTTCTCACTGACGTACTGGTGTTCTCACTGATGTACTGGTGCTCCCACTGACGTACTGGTGTTCTCACTGATGTACTGGTGTTCTCACTGACGTACTGGTGCTCTCACTGACGTACTGGTGTTCTCACTGACGTACTGGTTTCTCACTCAAGTTCTGGTGTTCTCACTGATGTATTGGTGTTTCCACTCAAGTGCTGGTGTTCTCACTGATGTACTGGTGTTCTCACTGATGCACTGGAGTTCTCACTGACGTTCTGACGTTCACACTGACGTGCTGGTTTTCTCATTGGTGTATTGGTGTTATCACTGACGTGATGGTGTTCTCACTGACGTACTGGTGTTCCTACTGACGTACTGGTTTCTCACTCAAGTGCAGGTGTTCTCACTGATGTACTGGTGCTCCCACTGACGTACTGGTGTTCTCACTGATGTACTGGTGCTCCCACTGACGTACTGGTGTTCTCACTGATGTGATGGTGTTCTCACTGACGTGCTGGTGTTCTCACTGATGTACTGGTGTTCTCACTGACGTACTGGTGTTCTCACTGACGTTCTGACGTTCACACTGACGTGCTGGTTTTCTCATTGATGTATTGGTGTTATCACTGACGTGCTGGTGTTCTCACTGATGTACTGGTGTTCTCACTGACGTACTGGTGTTCTCACTGACTTACTGTTGTTCTCACTGACGTACTGGTTTCTCACTTATTTGCTGGTGTTCTCACTGATGTATTGGTGTTTCCACTGATGTGCTGGTGTTCTCACTGACGTACTGGTGTTCTCACTGACGTTCTGACGTTCACACTGACGTGCTGGTTTTCTCATTGATGTATTGGTGTTATCACTGACGTGCTGGTTTTCTCATTGAAGTGCTGGTGTTCTCACTGACGTACTGGTGTTCTCACTGACGTAATAGTGTTCTCACTGACGTGCTTGTGTTCTCACTGACGTACTGGAGCTCTCACTAATGTCCTGGTGTTCTTACTGACGTACTGGTGCTCTCACTGACGTATTGGTGTTTCCACTGACGTACTGGTATTCTCATTGACGTGGTGGTGTTCTCACTGACGTGCTGGTGTTGTCACTGACGTGCTGGTGTTCTCACTGACGTACTGATGCTCTCACTAATGCACTGGGGTTTTCACTGACGTGCTGGCGTTCTCACTGACGTATTGATGTTCTCACTGACGTACTGGTGCTCTCACTAATGCACTGGGGTTCTCACTGACGTGCTGGTGTTCTCACTGATGTATTGGTGTTTCCATTGACGTACTGGTATTCTCATTGACGTGGTGGTGTTCTCACTGACGTGCTCGTCTTGTCACTGATGTGCTTGTGTTCTCTCTGACGTTCTGGTGTTCTCACTGAAGTGCTGGTGTTCTCACTGACGTATTATTGTTCTGACTGATGTGGTGCTCTCACTGACGTACTGGTCTTATCACTGACGTGTTGGTGTTCTCACTGACGTACTGGTGCTCTCACTAATGTACTAGTGTTCTCACTGACGTGCTGGTGTTCTCACTGACGTTCTGGTGTTCTCACTGACGTGCTGGCTTTCTCGCTGACGTGCTGGTGTTCTCACTGACCTGCTGGCGTTCTCACTGACGTGCTGGCGTTCTCACTGACGTACTGGTGTTCTCACCGACGTACTGGTGTTCCCACTGACGTCCTGGTGTTCTCACTGACGTGCTGGTGTTCTCACTGACTTGCTGGTGTTCTCACTGACGTGCTGGTGTTCTCACTAACGTGCTGGTGTTCTCACCGACATGCTGATGTTCTCACTGGCGTACTGGTGTTCTCACTGACGTGCTCTTGTTCTCACTGACGTTCTGGTGGTCTCACTGACGAACTTGTGTTCTCACTGACGTACTGGTGTTCTCACTGACATGCTGGCGTTCTCACTGACGTACTGATGTTCTCACTGACATACTGGTGCTCTCACTAATGTACTGGTGTTCTCACTGACGTGCTGGTGTTCTCACCGACGTACTGATGTTATCACTGACGTACTGGTGTTCCCACTGACGTGCTGGTGTTCTCACTGACGTGCTGGTGTTCTCTCTGACGTGCTGGTGTTCTCGCTGACGTGCTGGTGTTCTCGCTGACGTGCTGGTGTTCTCTCTGACGTGCTGGTGTTCTCACTGACGTGCTGGTGTTCTCGCTGAGGTGCTGGTGTTCTCACGGACGTACTGATGTTCTCACTGACGTGCTGGTGTTCTCACTGACGTACTGGTGTTCTCACTGACCTACTGGTGTTCTCACTGACGTACTGGTGTTCTCACTGACGTACTGGTGTTCTCACTGACGTACTGGTGTTCTCACTGACCTACTGGTGTTCTCACTGACGTACTAGTGTTCTCACTGACGTACTGGTTTTCTCACCAGTGTTTTCCCTCCCTCTCCGGCAGCTCTGATGGTCTTCTCGCTACCAGCTGAATCGGGAGAGAAGATAGGACTCTCCATCAACTCCATGTTGGCTATGATGGTCTTCCTCATGGCCATGATAGGCAATCTACCTCCCACTGAGAAGCTCCCCCTTGCAGGTAGGTTCTGCCACCTGTTGTAACTCTTCTGGTACCACTTGTAGTACCGGTTAAAGTAAATTTCGGTAGCACTTGTACTATTGGCTTTAATAATTATTGTAATACCATTTGTATTACCTGTTGTAGTAACTCTTGTGGTACCACTTGTAGTACCTGTTGTAGTAACTCTCGTGGTACCACTTGTAGTACCTGTTGTAGTAACTCTCGTGGTATGACTTATAGTACCTGTTGTAGCAACTCTTGTGGTACCACTTGTAGTACCTGTTGTAGTAACTCTTGTGGTACCACTTGTAGTACCTGTTGTAGTAACTCTTGTGGCACCACTTTCTGCACCTGCTGTAGTAAGTCTTGTAGTGTCACTCGATGTGCTACTTGTCCTTGTGTTACATGTACTGTCTGATGTAGAGTGACTGATGTTTATCGTGACCTTTGACCTGGCTGTTCCAGGTGTGTACTACGGTGTCTGCCTCTTTGTCTTGACCCTCAACGTCAGCTTCTCCGTTTATGTGCTGAACCTTAACCACTCGGGAGACGAGGGTTACCCAGTGCCTCGCTGGTCAAGGTCAGTGTCTGGGTGGGTTAGATCAATGCCAGTGTAATTCAGATGAGATTCGGGTAATTCAGGTCAGGGCTAGGCTAGGTCAGCTCAGGGCTCGACTGGATCAACGCTCTTAACTCGATAATGCATCTTGTGATCAACTTCAAACTTAAAATGCTGATATTTTGGAAAATATTGGTCTCTATTCGTTAACTATAGAATGCCACTTCAGATTGACTTTAAACTTACAAAGCTGGTGTGTCTTAGAGGAAATGGCTAGTTTATTGTGCGCCCTATATCCATCCTGTAGAGTGTAGACTGTAGCGCAAGAGCAAATGGATACATAAAAGGCCTAAGAACTAGGCCCCAAATGGGTTTACAGGAGTACATCTGGATTTATATCTGCAGTTCACTTATCTGTTGAGAGCAAATATACCAAATCTGCTTAATATGTCTGGTATATTATGTTCAATAAGATATCGTGACGTGGTATGATTCCTTTAACTACTCTAGTTATCGTTGCATTATGTATCTTAATTATGTCTGCTATAATTATTTCCACACACTAATGAGCTCCTGTTGTACTTTCCTGATGAATGACGGCGGCCTTATGTGTGTTGACATTCCTGGGGTGGCCCTATGTGTACACCTCGCGTGGCGATCGTGTGTTGACGTCGCGAGGCGATCGTATGTGCTAACCTTCCCGAGGCAGGTCGTTCACTCTAAGGTGCTCCCGGCTACTTAGAATAAAAGTTCCCAAGTTCATCATCAAGGCCTGGAACCTGGACGCTGTGAGTGCTGTCCTCTCTGTTAACCGTTGACTGTTCCGTGAGCTAACACTCACTACATTAAAAAAAAAAAAACTCACAGTGTAATACAACTAACAGACACAATGTATTACACCTGACACAGCGCATTATAGCAAACTATCAGTGAATTTTAACTAACACAATGAATCATTCGTAATAACTTATTGCATTAATTTAAAATACAGAAACAAGAGAAATCAACGAAGCCTCACCTTTAGTTTTTTGGGTTGATGAAGCTTTTGTAACAGTTCGAAATACAGTACATGGATAACTGAAGAACTTTAAGTTACCCAGCTTATCAGAGTTTTACGTGTTCAACCTTGTATGTTTGTATATATATATATATATATATATATATATATATATATATAAATATATATATATATATATAATATATATATATATATATATATATATATATATATATTTTTATTATCACACTGGCCGATTCCCACCAAGGCAGGGTGGCCCGAAAAAGAAAAACTTTCACCATCATTCACTCCATCATTGTCTTGCCAGAAGGGTGCTTTACACTACAGTTTTTAAACTGCAACATTAACACCCCTCCTTCAGAGTGCAGGCACTGTACTTCCCATATATATATATATATATATATATATATTATATATATATATATATATATATATATATATAATATATAATATATATATTATTACATAATATGGTACAGAAGATTTAAGAGATACATTGTTGATATAAAGGTGGCATATAAGGTACATGTTGTTACGTGTGTATCACCAATTATAAGGCGAAAATCTCATCCAGCTCCTCAGAGCTGGGGCGTGTTCCCAAAATACAGCAGGCATTACCCCTTTGAACAGCCGCACTGTGTTGAGAAATGGCTTTACCAGCTAAGATATTTATAAATATAAATATAGTGAACACTTAGCTGATAAAAGACAGCAAATCGTCTACACAGCCACCCCTGCAGACGAGGTCTAGAAGCTGTCGAAACCATCTCAACATGGGCTGTCAAGAAATATAATTTGTAAGATTATAAATTACCCCTAGGGGGTGTTATGTCAGCATACTTCATTCAATGATGGCTGACGACTTACTTGTGTGGACTCAATGGTCTGCATATCACCGGGGTTTATGATAAGTGACTAACTCACGACTTTATACTCAACTGCGCAGTCAATAGTAGTACATCACGAGTTAGAACACTTACCTGAGTATATGTATCTGACCCGTAATTACGCCCGGATATCCGTTGAGTTGATTGAAGAATAGTGTTCTTTGAAGAATGTCGCACTACACTCTGTTGGATCGCAACACTCGTTGTTACACTGTTCATCAATAATTGTTCACACAATATCACTAAGAAGTTGATCACACTTCTCTGTAAGTGTTTATCGTGTTTTTGTGAGACACTTTGTCCACACTAACGCACAGATCAGTGTTCTTTGTTGGTTATCCTGGCGTCAGTGTCACTCTCAGTAGAGTCAAAAGTAATTTGAAGATGCCAGAGCGCCCCACGTCGTTGCTCCCCTAGCACAAAAAAAAAGCTGACCTAGTACTTTTTGCTTCCTTGCCACTTCCTCGATGAAGCAAAGCAGAATGTGTGATTCTTGCTGTCTTAAGCATAGACAACAATGTCCACTATCTTTACTATGGTAATAAAGTGGGAGCAGGATTTTCCTTTGTCCTGCTAAAGTAAGAGATGTACTGTCTCTTATAAAAATACACTTTGCAACACTGGACTGCAAGGAGCAGAGGTCATTTGACCACGCATACTCGTACGGCATCTGTGATCAATTACTCACTGTAGCAGTAAACAAGATATTTGCCCCTTCTGAGAGGGCTGGGCCCCTCAGGGCTGAAAGGGGCTGAAGGGGCTGAAGGGGGCTGATACCCCCCTCCTGGAGAAAATTTCTCCACACTCTGAGCCGCTGGAACAGAAAACTAGCTGCCCTGGGATCCCTAGTTACCCTGATGAGTCTTTTTCCCAGCTCCTTAAGGAATTTAGATGCACTCTTTCCCCATGAGCTAAGGGTCTCTGAGCCTATGGGAACAAACATATAATGATGGGCAAGTTCTCCATATTTTCTAGACTTTTGGGACTCCCTGAAGCTGGCAGCTGCCCCTCCTTCCTCCCTGGTGTATTGGAGATAGGTATCAGCCAAGGTAGATGCACATGTATAGTCCCACACCACCTGCTTCCCATCTGTCCAGGCTTGAAGGGTGATACCATCTGGACGCTTCCGGCTGCCATCAGATCTGCATAGTTGGGGTGGCTCCCTTACTGCTGGGCATCCAGCTGTTGTGAGGCTCCTCTTGATAATGTTATTAACCTCCTCATGTTTTGCAATATATATATGTATATATATATATATATATATATATATATATATATATATATATATATATATATATATATTATATATATATATATATATATATATATATATATATTTTATTATTATCACACTGGCCGATTCCCACCAAGGCAGGGTGGCCTGAAAAAGAAAAACTTTCACCATCATTCACTCCATCACTGTCTTGCCAGAAGGGTGCTTTACACTAAAGTTTTTAAACTGCAACATTAACACCCCTCCTTCAGAGTGCAGGCACTGTACTTCCCATCTCCAGGACTCAAGTCCGGCTGCCGGTTTCCCTGAACCCCTTCATAAATGTTACTTTGCTCACACTCCAACAGCACGTCAAGTATTAAAAACCATTCGTCTCCATTCACTCCTATCAAACACGCTCACGCACGCCTGCTGGAAGTCCAAGCCCCTCGCACACAAAACCTCCTTTACCCCTCCCTCCAACCTTTCCTAGGCCGACCCCTACCCCGCCTTCCTTCCACTACAGACTGATACACTCTTGAAGTCATTCTGTTTCGCTCCATTCTGTCTACATGTCCGAACCACCTCAACAACCCTTCCTCAGCCCTCTGGACAACAGTTTTGGTAATCCCGCACCTCCTCCTAACTTCCAAACTACGAATTCTCTGCATTATATTCACGCCAAACATTGCCCTCAGACATGACATCTCCACTGCCTCCAGCCTCCTCCTCGCTGCAACATTCATCACCCATGCTTCACACCCATATAAGAGTGTTGGTAAAACTGTACTCTCATACATTCCCCTCTTTGCCTCCAAGGACAAAGTTCTTTGTCTCCACAGACTCCTAAGTGCACCACTCACCTTTTTCCCCTCATCAATTCTATGATTCACCTCATCTTTCATAGACCCATCCGCTGACACGTCCACTCCCAAATATCTGAATACATTCACCTCCTCCATACTCTCTCCCTCCAATCTGATATCCAATCTTTCATCACCTAATATTTTTGTTATCCTCATAACCTTACTCTTTCCTGTATTCACTTTAATTTTCTTCTTTTGCACACCCTACCAAATTCACCCACCAATCTCTGCAACTTCTCTTCAGAATCTCCCAAGAGCACAGTGTCATCAGCAAAGAGCAACTGTGACAACTCCCACTTTATGTGTGATTCTTTATCTTTTAACTCCACGCCTCTTGTCAAGACCCTCGCATTTACTTCTCTTACAACCCAATCTATAAATATATTAAACAACCAAGGTTGACATCACACATCCTTGTCTAAGGCCTACTTTTACTGGGAAATAATTTCCCTCTTTCCTACATACTCTAACTTGAGCCTCACTATCCTCGTAAAAACTTTCACTGCTTTCGTAACCTACCTCCTACACCATACACCTGCAACATCTGCCACATTGATCCCCCATCCACCCTGTCATATGCCTTTTCCAAATCCATAAATGCCACAAAGACCTCTTTAGCCTTATCTAAATACTGTTCACTTATATGTTTCACTGTAAACACCTGGTCCACCCCCCCCCCTACCTTTCCTAAAGCCTCCTTGTTCATCTGCTATCCTATTATCCGTCTTACTTTTAATTCTTTCAATTATAACTCTACCATACACTTTACCAGGTATACTCAACAGACTTATCCCCCTATAATTTTTGCACTCTCTTTTGGGCCCTTTGCCTTTTTACAAAGGAACTATGCATGTTCTCTGCCAATCCCCAGGTACCTTACCCTCTTCCATACATTTACTAAATAATTGCACCAACCACCCCAAAACTATACCCCCAAACCTGCTTTTAACATTTCTATCTTTTTCCCATCAATCCCGGCTGCCTTACCCCCTTTCTTTTTTCCCTACTGCTCAAAAACTTCCCCCCACTCACAATGGCTTTTCCCTCACTCCTAAAAGATTTATTCCTCCTTGCCCTAACACGAAATCACAGTTTCCCCTATCTTCATCAACATTTAAAATTCCTCAAAATATTCCCCTCCATTTTCCCAATCCTCTAACTCTCCATTTAATAACCTCCTCTCTTTTTTTAAATGAAAATCCATTGTTCTCTGGTTTCCTTTAAAATTGTTTATCTCACCAAAATTTTTCTTTTTTAAACAAAATTTGTTGTAACATCTCCCCTCCTCATTGCTCTCTTTTTACATTGCTTCCCCACTCTCTTTATATTTTATGTTTATATTATATATATAATTATATATATATATAAAATAATATTATATATAATAAATATTTAAATATATATGTAAATATTACATATGAATTTTGAAATTAAAAATTTGATTATATTACTTTTTAAATATATATATATATGTATATTTTAAATATATATTAAATATATATATATATATATATATAAATATATTATATATATATAATGTATATATGTCGTCCCGAATAGCGAACTTGCGATCTTGGCTTAAAAAGCAACGCTCATCTTGTAAAAAGACAAGTAAAAAAATTTTTTTACAATAATTTCGCCAAAATTTTTCTGAACCTAACAAAAAAAAATTATTTCACTGTGTTTGTTTAGATTAAATTATTGTAAAAAAAATCAAAAATTTTTATTTGGGTTAGGCTAAAAAAAATTGCGCTTTTTAAATAATAATTTTAGGAAAGTTTTGTTTTTTTGTGCAAAATTATAAATTTGACATCAAATTAATGAAAAAAAAAATAATCTTTAAAAGAATTTTAAAAAAAAAATTTTGAAAGGACTTGATTTTAATTGAGTTCTTGCTAATTGAAAGTTTTTTAAAATTCGGTAAGGGCTATATATAATATATATATATATATATATATATATATATATATATTTTATATATAGTGCTGTTCCCACCATGTTAAATTTTTCCGCTCTGACACAGAACCTGAAAAGGGGGAAAACTAGGGTTAAACCTTATAAGACAACCCCGAAGACGCGTGACGGGAATGTGAGAGGGTTTTAGAACCGGGTGCGAGACATGCAGATTCATGTCATCAAAGTGAAGTCGGACGGAGCTGACATGTTTAAGGGCAAGATGCTTCTTTTTTTTTTTTTTTTTTTTACTTTTGAACTCTTAACCTGGTGTTTGTTCAGCTTTTTACACTCGTTTTATCAATACAAACTTAACACATTCAATATAATCACTGTCTATGCTTTGATTATAATACTTAATTGCATTTTTCTTCTTTATATTCTGGAAACTGCGTCTTTATTTCCAGTACTGTATCTTCCAGACCAGTTCCAGCGACGGTCCCTCCAAGCACTGGAAGGCATCCAGTGTCTGATGTCGAGACAGGTCTCAATGCAGAAGAGAAAGACAAGAAAGTTTTTGCTGAAAGAGGAGTGGCAGTACGTCTCGCGGGTGATGGATCGAGTACTCCTGGTCATCTTCTTTATTGGGACGCTCCTCTTTCACGCCATTATGCTCTCCCAGTCGCCCTATGGGGCAAGCTTTGAGTACTGCTCCCTGGGCTATGGCAAGTGTAAAAACAAACATTAAGAGCTTCAAGTCTGGAGCCAGAGTCTATTTAGGTGAAATGTGGCATTGATCACCGTCGCGCAGTTAATAGGTCTTAGTGAATATGTCTCGGAATATATTCGCCGAGTTTATTATAATTCCCGTTTTGTAGTTCAGACAATTCCTCCTTAAAAATCTTTTTTTTATATACACTGAACTTATTTTCATATGTTCGTCCGTAATGTATAAATGTACAAGATGTGCATCAATAATGTGTGAATGTAAAATACTATGCCTCAGTATTATGTGTATGTATACCACTGAAAACAAAAAAAAAGTATCTGAATAAACTTACTTACCATGTGTAAGTTTTATTCAGATATACACAAATACAGTAACAGAATTATCATACATAGCAGCATATGTGTAGAGGACCTAGGATAACCCAATACTTACCATGGGTGCTACGAAATTAATCTTATCTAGAGGTATATATAAAGTTTTGTAAAAATAAGTCACCCTAAGCCCCAATGCTTCGTAAATTACACAAAACGTTAAAAAAGTGGTCAGAACTTTAGGTCTGGTTACCGTGAAGGACAGATAAACTCACTTGCCTTCTACACATTTCGCATATTACAAAATAGCTCACTAGTACACTGCTACTAGTTAATTAAAGTTAGAACATATGAAATACATATCCACAGCAGTGGGTCTCCATGACCCACATAGGCCCCACATAAATTCCAGGCTAGGGCCAACAAAATTTTCACCAAAAATCAACTATAGCCTAAACATTACCAAAATAAAAAAAAAAAAAAAACTACTTAATCTCTCTCTCCAACACAACTTCCCAGCCGCTGCTAGACTAGTGACTCCACACAGCTCTATCATTCACCTGTCTCATACGCGTCCATCTACCATTCAATTCCCGTCCACTTAAGCACTGACACTATTTTTATGGAACTTTTTTCACCGCACCACAAACAATCTAAACATATAAAAATTATTACAACAATATAATATCCTGCATAATACCCCCACCACCAGACTACAGGTCTCAGCAGCTAGCAAAAAATAGTAAAAAGGAAAATTACCCTAAGGTCTGGGAAACAGGAAGTAACATCACCAAAACAAGAAAACTGCATCATTACAACAAACACTCATCCTTACCTTATTTGCCTTGGTAACTCTTACATATAATACCATAACTTCTTATTGATAAACACAAAACATTTAATATCATCACGGTGTTCATTGCTAATCCACAGATGTATGAAACTGTTAACATTAGTGATCAAGTTCCGCACCAAACAATCTTACAGTCATGTTGTATATATACTTTTAAACCCAGAACCAGGGCTGCCAAAATTTATTTTGTAATAATACCAAACTTTTCAGGAAAAGTTACCAAAGAAATACAAAAACATACCAAATTTTAAACTTTAGTATATAAACACTATAAAATATCTTAAACAGGAAAAATTACATTTAACTTACATTACATCTTACTAAAACATCGACATGGAGGAAATACATTCAACTTATACTTTGTTAGAAGAAAACTTTTTTCTCAACTGTTCCATCACTACACTATTGTTGTTGTTGTTGTTGTTGTTGTTGTTGTTGTTGTTGTTGTTGTTGTTGTTGTTGTATTCTGTCACGAAACTCTTTTAGTTAATTCCACGTCGTGAAGTTGATGTCCTAAAGTAAACGTTTAGATCTTATTAACACATTTAAGGTGGACATTTTCAGAAATGTGAGATTTTTAACTTTAATAATATTGAGTAAAGAGAAAACTCTTTTAGCAGCTGCTGAAGACTGAGGTAATGAAAGAAGATGGTCATAAATTTTGACAACAGAGAAGCGATACTCGTCAGCAAATTTTTCTTGAGATATGTTAAACCAAAACTTTTCAGGATTTTTTTTTTTTTTCAGCATTAGGAGGTTGATCCTAAATGTCAGCTCCCTCCATTATTTATTTATTTCTCCATAATGTTCTTCATTGATAGGTTTAGAAATTTCATAACTAGTTGGGCTCAACGCTTTAAGCATCTCCAATTTTGCAAACAATTGACAAGATAAAAAGCGCTGAACCATCTACTTTGTAAGACAAACATAGAAATTAAAAATTTTTGTTTGAAATTCTTGTATTCTTTCCGGGAAATTTTTGCTGAATTGTCCAGGCAGATAGTTTGTACAGGAGCACCACAATAAATGTCATTTATCCTGAGATATGTTGAAGTATCATTGATATTGATTTTATTTATATCATTTAAGTTTCAAAATTTATCGCTTGATGAAATTACTGGGAATCCCTTTAACACTGGTATTAAAAGAATTCCTTAATTAACTTATGAATTCTAAATGTTTCAGCTTGATACTCCAAATAAAGCTTATGACTGTCAGGTTAGGAAAGCATAATACATTTTTGTAGAGGGATTTTGTAATGCCTTTATAATTCTTAAAGCCATAGAAATGTCATCTTCTAATGCAGCAGATGCAAAGAACAATAACATTTTAGTCGATTGCTCTAAAATTATTTTGACCACTTGTTCGAGGGAAAGCCATCTTGTGCAGCTAATGTGGAGATTTTTTTGAGGATTGGTATTTGTGGAAAATTAAAGTTACCTAGATGAACTTCATTAGATACATACCAGTAATTTAATAAAAGTAACAAAGATAATTTCTTACCAATTGTTACAACTCTGCGGCATGTAGAATATTTTGAGACTTCTAGGTCACCAGAGAATGTCTCCCTCCGAACTACTACCCTCATACAATCCCGCAAGTTACTCTGGACCTATATTAATTTCAATGAAATAAATATCACCAGTAATTCTATTAAACTATTAATATAAATTATATGGACTGTATGTTAAATTGAGTTAATGAATACATATACATTTATATATCAGAAGGAGAATTTATATTAATAACACTCACCAATTTGTCTGGAGATTACTTGGTGTGTCATACACAATCCCCTGCCTAAAATATGAAGAAACTACTTGCCAGAAATTTCAACATATAAAGACATTACTTATCTGGGGGATGGTGTACTTATTATCTCTTTTCCCATCTAATTTTGGAGTCCTGTCCAATTGTTGGTTTCTCACATTCTGCAGGACTGTGCCTACAACAATTTCTGCTCCTATTTGAGAGGTTTCAAATACAATTTAACCTCCAGAGCGACGAAAATTCTTCCGATTTTCACCAACGTCTGTCTTGCACAGGTCAAAACATGGCGTCTCTCCCAAACGACGTTAACACTATCGCTGGTTCTTTTTTTTATTTACAAATAAATTTTTATTAACTACAATGGATTTCACTAATTTACATACAAAATACACTGTATTTTTGGAAAATATACAATATTGTCCACGCTGCAGCCGGGCAGAGTTTGTTGCTAAAGGACTCAAATTGCTCCTTCCTCTAGGAGACAATTCCAGCCAGTTCTGGCTTGAGTGGCTGTTCTCCTAGCAGGCCTTACTACAATTTCATCTTTTTGCATTGCTTGGTCAGCATTATCTTCAACATCACTCTTGTGGCAAATTAAATTTACCTGGATATAACTCATAAGATATATACCAGTAAAAGGTAACAAAGATAATTATTCTTTATCGAGGTTACAGTGACATATAGGAATTTTAGGACACCTAGGTTGCAAAAATGTCCCCCTTTGATACCTACTGTCATATCTCCACAAGTCACTCTGGACCTATATTAATTTCAAATGAAATATACATTACCAGGAATTCTGGTAATCATTATAAATATGTGGACTGTATATTAAATTTAAAAAAATGAACACATATACATTGAAGGAGAATTTATAATAGAAAGACTCACCAATTTGTCTGGAGATTACTTGGTGTATCATACACAAACCCCTGCCTAAATATGAAGAAAATACTGGCCAGAATTCCAACGTAAATAGACATGACTTAGCTGGGGTTCCTGGACTGTGCTGTCCACTTGTCTAATGCTCACGTTATGCAGGACTACAAATCCAACAATTTTGGCTCCTATTTGAGAGATTACAACCACAATTTAACCTCCAGAGTGACGAAATTTAAGCACATTTCACAAGCGTGCCTTTTGCCACTTCAAAACAATGGTGTCTCTTCCCCAGCAATGCTCAGCCATTTTGCTAGTTCTTTATTTATTACAAATTAATTTTTATTACCTACAATATATTCCATCAATTTACATACAAAATACACTGTATTTTTGGAAAATATACAGTATTTTCTACAATTCTTGTCATTTTCCCTTAGATTTTCATTTACATTTGATTGAATACCATTTAATTCCAAGGGAATCAATTTATTAATCATGCATAAACTTTCTTGGCCACGACACAACACTTTGACATTCCGGACAACACCTTGTGCATCTGGGTACAATGTCAATACTTTGCCCAGAGGCCACAATGTTCGATGCTGTTCAGTATCACTTAACACAATGTCACCTGGTTGAATGTTCTGTCGATTTACTGCCTCTGTCGCACCATAAAAGTGTTCACATAGTGTAAGAAGATATTCTTTACACCACACATTGGACCAATGATCAATTACTTTACTTAACATTAAATTTATCACACAACACTGCCGCATCATTGTAATAATTACTTTCTTCAGGATTATTTCTATAGACAGGGGCAGCTTCCAATTTCCTTCCAGATATTAGGTGAGGTGTTAATACATCTGCATCAGGTGTATCACTCATGTACGAGAGAGGCCTATTATTTATCCGATTCTCCGCCTCCACTAACACTGCATGGAATTCCTCCAAAATAATTCTCTTCCTGTGTAGTACTTTACGGAGACACCTCTTCACTGTGCCTATCAATCTTTCGTACAGACCTCCCTGCCAAGGGGCTCTAGGAGTAATAAATTTTCAGGTACACCCTCGATGGGTTAACAGAGATTGAACATCGTTACTCTTATTTAATTTGGTGGCATTATCCGAAATCATTATTCTCGGACAGGATCTTTCCTAGCTACAAACTTTCGAAACAGCTGTATAAACTGCTCTGCAGA